CAGCCATTAAAAAATGGTGATCTAGTATCTTTTTCGACAACCTGGAGGGAACTAGAGACCATTCTTCTAAGTGGAACATCACAAGAATGGAGAAACAATCACATGTACTCAATATCAAACTGAAAGTAATTGATCCACACTTAAGTGCACATACGGAAGTAAATGTCAGTGAAAATCAAGCTGGGGGGAGGGAGGAAGATGAGCTGGGTAAAGTCACACCCATTGGGTACAGTCCCCACTCTCGGGGTGAAGGGCACACTTACATGTATAACTGACTGAATCTGTGCAAAAACAAAATATGTAAATAAAACGTGTATACTCCCCAACATTCTGAAATTTTAAAAAAGAAGAACTGAGCATCTAAGAAGCCACATAAAGAAGGGCCCCATGGTAGAGGCGCAGCCTGTCAACCCTTCATGCCACCTTTCCTGAGAGTGAGGCCTGCAGAGAACAGAGAGAGAAGCCCCGGGGTTGGCTCTGGGCTTTCATGAATCACCAGGTGACCCTCTCTGCCTTATCTAATGCATCTGTTTCCCTGACTTCCTCTTCCCAGAAACAGAGAACATAATTCTTGCCACAACACACAGAATGATGAAGAAAAGCAGATGTAGGTCCACGGGCACAAGCCCAGATGTCATCAGCAAGCCCTGCTGCCTGTGAGGCCCTCTGCTGTCTACTGAGAGCCCCTGAAGTCCTCTAGTCACTGACTCTAAACCATGTTGGACCAGCACCTGCTTTTAAAAATTCAGCAAAAGTTACAATCCAGGAAAAACAAAAGCCAATTTTGAGACAGGTTTTGAGTCTTTATGGAGTCAAGAACCTCAGACTACAAACATCTTGATAGATAAGTGCCGCATTAACCTTCATTTTCGTTGCCCACTTGGGCTGCTGGTCCAATCACATGAGAAAGACAGCAGGTCTGTGGTCCCTGAGATGATGTAACTGGCTACACCGAATGGGCCCAATGATGGAATCGCAGGCCTCCAGTGAACACAGCCATGCTAATTAACAGATCACCAGCCACGAGAGAGCTTTAGCAATATTCCCAAGATATCACCGGAGATGATTTGGTTGGATTAACACAAACTGGCAAATCCTCGACTGCTAAGCACAGAAAATATCACCAAATCCCTGGAAAAAGTCTTTCTAGACCTCTGTTACAAAACACAAAATGGAGAGCAGCCAGCAACGTCTATTCGCTATGTGGCATCCATACACAAAGTCAAAAGGCCAACCAAACGTAGTGGGGAAGGCAATCCATTTACTTATATTTTTCCTTCCCTCTTCTCTTCCAGAGAAGCATCATAATTTAGGGGAGGGAACTCAATTATGAACTTGAATGTGACAATGCTTACTAAGAATCTGTGTCTGGTTCTTTAATCATATGTAGGATTAATTCGAATGATTTCCCTTACATAACGAGTGTTGAATCTGAAATAATCAACTTTGGTTAGTACCCACCTTGGCATACAGAGAAACCAAGGTGTACAAAGACCTTAACAGTCACAGGGAAATTTAAGACAGACTCAGGGCAGTTCTCCTGGTCCTGGGAGAAGACCCCACAGGTTGGAGACAGCCAAGCCCTTGACTGTCTCTAGACTCAGCCAAAAACTCCTACACTGTGTCCTTTTTGTCAAGCTGTAAAAATGTAAGTATTTTTTTAACGGCCATTTCCAAAAGAGAAGAAGTCTCTCATATCCCTAAGACAATTGTCTTCATTCATCCCTACCCCTTGCCCAACACGTGCTTGTTGATAATTTGCATTTTTTGAAATCAATGATGTATCATAGTGAAAAGAACAGATCAAGGGCCACAGTGACTGCCATGGGGCCATGGCTCTGTCCACAATGAGCCATAAGTAAGGTGACCAGATTTTAACATTGGTAAAGCGGGACACCATTGACTAGGGCGTGGGTGGGGTGGTGGTGAGGGGGTTCTTAATTAAAAATTTGGTCTATATGGAGCAACAAAAGTTTTCATAGAGCACAAAACTAGTACTGTAATATATTTTTTAAAATTTCAACGTAAGTACAATTTACAAATATAATACATTAAAAAAATTATGTATAGTATTATTTTATTCTTTGGCATATTTCTTGTCGAATTCTAACAACTGATCAACAATCGAACTTTTGATAAGCAGTTCTTGATAATCAGTTTTCAACAACTATTTATTATTAAAGTTTAACATTATAAAATTAACAAAAATAATATAAAACTCATATCTTGGCAAAATAGCCACATGGCAGCCGGAAACCGTATATTCCCTTCCTGTTCTCGCACCGCTTGTCATGCATTCTTTCTAAAAATCAGGACTTTTTTAAAATGCTGCGGGACACAGGACAAATTGTTAAAATCAGGACTGTCCTGCCAAAAGCAGGACATCTGGTCACCTTAGAAGGCTTCAGGAAAACGCTGTCTTTCTGCCTTAAGTGCTATCTGTAGACCCCACTGGGCACTTGAGATGTGACTCAACTGATGGGAACCAGGACGTGCACCTGCTAGAGATGATGGAGTCTCGTCTGGCAAGAGACAGCAGAAACAGGGAGGGAAAATGATGCTGACGGCTCTTCCCCCAGAAACATTCCCTTGGCTACTCTGGGTCTGACAAGGTTATTCACCCAGGAATGTCCTCAAATCCTCCAGAACCGCTGACATATTGGCTGGAAATGTTAAGTCCTGGCATAAAACCAA